TTACCGGGACTGGGTTCCCGAACCATTTCTATATCAGATACTCACTTTACCCTCACTACTTTCCGTTGATGGCGCTTGGTCGGTATGCAAGGGCAATGGGACAACATCCTCTGAGTGAATTCGTATCTCCCACACACACCCAATCTTAGGGCCGGGCAACGGGCCCGGCCCCGTGTCGCCGCTGAGGAAGCAACCTCATGTTTAGCCTCATCCATTCTCAAGATTATAAATATCATTTCTCCTTCGAAAACGTTGGACCGTTCGGTAAAGTCGACGGTCGGGTCGGTCTTTGTATAAATCTGCCCCATTTTTCTGTAAACTGCCATGAACCTTGCCAGCTAGGCGCCCAGCTCGCAATACCCCCAAGGAACAAAATTGTTAACGCACCAGCTTGAGAATTGACCCATACGATGTGTCCATCATGCTATCCATTGCTTGGTACTCTGGCGACGCTCCCAGCTGGTTTTCAACCAACGCACTGTAACGATGGCTCTGAGATAGCTTCCATTCTCCATACAACTAATATTTCCCATAGGTAAAATCAAAATGACAGCTATGAAAAAGGATGTATTTGACCTGTCCAATTGTAACAGCATTTTCTGAACACCTTGAAAGCCAATATATCCTCAAACGTGATGGAAAGTCAAGTTATTGAAGAACAGTACTTTCCCTTATGGTTGAACGTGATGAGTAGACCTCGCCACGGCCCATGGGCCCGCATTGGGCTACTTCCACCTGCCTGTTGTGATAAGTGATAATAAGGTTGATTATTAATTAATTGACTTAAGGAGTTATCATTAACAGGGGTGAGATGCCTCATGTATATATGTTCCCAACCCTGCTATCAGGTTCAGCCACCGTGATACTCTACATGAATAACCCTTGTATTCATATTCCTATTATTCGCATTCGTATTATTCATATTATTCGTATTCCTTCGGAACTCTAGCCAGTGGTGTTCGTAATTTGGCCCACAAGGCTTGGCACAAATAATCAGACCCGGTGCAGCAGTAGGCGTTATATCTCACAAACCTTAGTATGGAAATGGAAGTCTCGGGGTTCTATGCAACGAAGCTCGCAAGTGGATGGCAGCACCCTGTTGTTGACCCGCTATCTTGATTTGCAATCTTCCACCTAGGACATGCTGTATTGTTCGAAGCGACGAGGCCAAGAATAGTGTGTAAGCCATGGCTTTGCGTGGAGCACTGACGGTAGTGCAGAATTATCAGGGCCATCCTGGAGCACTCAAAGGTTCACTGTCAATTATTAGCCAGTAGATCAGCGTGAAATTTCATGACTCACATGTTCTGATGGTCAAGACCAGGGGTGAAGAGACGGCAAGGAGCTGTGGCCCTTGCACTGGTGCATTGTGGTCAAATGTCCACGGATATGGTTGTCCCGCGTCTTTCAATTCAGTGCAGTTTCAAACAGGATTTGTGGGCTTTCACATACCTACAGTACAAGCAGTCGCGCTTCAAATTTGAGGTACATCCAGAGGCGCGACAGTAGATCAGCTCAGTCGGCTGCTATAACAGAGACATCTTTGCATATACACTTTGACCAGCTAACCCAAAACTCGTATCTTTGATCGGCTGGCGTGAATGGCAGTGTATCTGGTGGGAATCATATCTCCCACAGGCACTGCCTGACTTGCTGGTCCACGATGCATTCTATAAATGTCAGTACGGTGGAAGTTTCAGTACTGTGTCAAAGGGGAAGAACTTATCGAGTGCCTCGGACACGGGGCCTGATCGTCTTTGCGTAATGTAGTAATTGCGTTGTAGGGCAAATGGCTGGGGATTTGGGGACATATCTATAGATTTCTCTGCTTATCACTTGAACTTGAATGCTTTGCTTGGTGAAAAAAGTTGGGCACGGTGCCGATCCTATGTGAGGTCTGTTGAAACCCATGTTTTCATTTTTACTCTCACTTTCTGCTGCAACTACCTTGATGCCATATGAATGCTCAGTGGGACTCGAGTGAGGGCCATGTTGAATACTGATACGGAGCCGGTTAAGGAACGTTGGCTGGAAATCAACCCCTCCGCGGCCTTCTAAAGGTGCACTAGCTATCCAATCAGCCATGACGTTGAATAAACTGTCACTCTGAATTACCAAATCATGCCTACAATTTATTTACTTAGGAACGAGCCTTCCCCGCCTCGCTTTATTATTGATTGAGCTGTCTCAGGTCTTTTGGTTCTTTGTAATACACTTCAAAGCTTTGCAGGTTCTTTTCGTTTAGTTCGCGTACCTAGAGCTCAGCCTCATGATCGTTTTCATCCTCCGGCTCAATGTCTCCAACATAGTAACCGCGTTCTGCATGCAACTACAAAGTCAGTATCTTCCCCAAGTATAATGGCCAGTATTCGCATAGTATCCCCAATTCATCAGAGTTTCATTTATTTGATTCTTGCCAAAGCGCAGACAAATGGTACAAAATCACTCAATTCTCTTTTTTTTGCCCCTCTATCAAGTTCCCAATCAAATTCACAGTCTGCACCCTATCCGATTCCGATGCATCCCAGCCAAGTGGCTTCGTTCAATAGGGCATCGAGCAATTTCAGCCATGGCGAAAGCTTGGAACTCTACGGTACCCAAATTTTTAATGCCCTAATAAACTTGACGTTGGTTGGACCAAATTTTGCCATGAACGAGATATCTGCTCCGGCAAGCTGATTTCAAATTTGTTCCTCGAGTACAGTATTGAAATCATTTCGTCGTGGGTTGTGTTGCACATTTGTCATAGTGCAGGTTTCATTGTCCTATGTTTGTATTTAGGGAAACAATTGGTTACACAAGGACTCCCTACAACATGTTGTCGGGTCAGGCCTTCTCCCATTTCTCTTCTCTTCTTTTTTTCTTGGCTTTGTGCCTTCGTAGAATGGACTCTTTTTTCAGATCAGATTTGCCTCGTCACATTATCTTAAGTTTCAGCAGCACGATTATTCTCGTTTGGACGTTAGGTACAAACGGAATAGCAGAGTATGGACAGATCAAGACCTCCAGAAGTATCCGTGCATTGAAGAAGTGCGTCCCCTGGCTCATTGAGTGCATCCTTGGTGTATTCGCAAGTGGGGAGTTCTTGATATAAGAGCAGATCTCGCCCGAAGAGTAACCTTTCAAGTGGCAGATTCCTTTAGCAATGAAACAGTACAACTTTGTCCCTTAATTTTTAGTTGGATTAAACATACGATGATACTGCTCTAGAGTTCAGCCGCAATAGGTGGGGCTATACTTGCAAGGTTCTCCCAGGGACATGTTTCCCGGGACCAAGCAGATGGGAAGCAACAAGAATTACGGCCAGCTTCATGGATAGGGGGTATGGTAGGATAGTAAAGTAGAAAGTCGGGTATATCATAGAATAGAAGCAGACATGAGGCAACAGAGTGAATGTGATATCCTTATGTGTCCCTATGGCCCTTTAACTTGCAATTTTAGAGGCTTCAGAAATGCTACATATTGCAGGGGACAAATTTAATGCATTGGAATGAAAGGCACGGCTTGGATGAAAGTATAGTATGATTACACAACATATTCTACAATTATAACAATGCTACAAAGTCTGCATATATTAAGTCTCAGGAGGCCTAGACCGTCTCATGTCTAGACTATTACTATATACGGGTCTATCAGAAAGCAGCCACCTTTGAATAGTCAACTATGGGATTTCAAATAATATCCCTAGGACCCGGAGGTTCTCACTTATTCTCTGATTAATAGAGAAGGAAAACCATAGATTGGTATTCATCACCCCTTGCGAACGGCAGGCACGATGCTTTATAAAATATTCGCATTCCGGATTGAATGAAATATCTCGAAAAATCCACATGTGGCTACCTATTTGTATAGCAGACCAGAAAAACAAAAGCCTGGTTTGTGCTCTTATCTCTTGAATAGCTAAAAGGTCTTTCACAACACTGGCGTCAGTCAACTATATTGCGTTTGTGATCAAGCCAAAGGCTCCTAAGTGCGGACCATTTGACAATACTTACCACACACGATGCTGTTCAGCGTGCTGCGTATGGAAGGCGACCTGCTAAGGGACTCATTTTGAAGAGCAACGCTTTCGTTCACGATGACTATTGTTAGTATCTATTCATGTGAGTCCAATAGCCTAGAATTACATGAGCAGATACCACATTCACCATATCTCAGGTCCATTAGGTCGGTTATACAAGGCCTGTTTGATCTTGAGCAGGGTCATCACCCCACCATACGGGCACCGGACCCGCTATGAAATTTGGCTTCAGTAACAACGTACTATAATGAGACCTAATTATAAACTTCTCGTAAGCCTAAAATGATGGAATAAAACCAGCAAAGAACTAAGATCTATATACATATTGCTACAAAGGGCCATTGTTTAGCAATTACCACATACCACATTAAATCATTATACCAAGCTTAGCAGTAAATATTGTACTGAAAAAGATCTTCGGTTCGTTGGTGCTACATAACGGACTATCTAGAATAAAAAGAACGATTAAGGGACTGAATAGATAAGAGATAAACCAGTTACTAAAAATTCCGACTAGTACAATGTCTTATTTCACATTTCAGAACGCGCTTAAGTAGTAATCGAAATAGTTGTGGTTGTTATAAGACCAAGAATGCAGGTCTTTCTCAATTCCGACCCACTTTGAAAGCATATGAAGTACATACTGCCGACATGAGTAAGGGGCGGGGTAAAACGGAAAAGAATGATTGACTACACATACCCAACTCAGGTTCGTTGTCCGCCAATGACAATCACTTCCTAACGAATCCATAATATTCCTCCTATTCATCGGAAAATTTGATAATCAACGTTGAAAGTTTAAAATGCACGTGCATCCAAGTGAACAACTAAACTCTTGTTTTATTTGATACCGCTCAACGCGAAAAAGTTCGAACAGGCTCTGAATCACCTCCAGTGTTATTGTATATTCGATAATCTTGGTGGCGTCAAGCACAGGATTGCTGTAATACAACATCGAGATTCACATCCCACCTGCGATATGCCTCTCATTAACGCCGGGCCGATTATTGAAGAAATCTTTGTTCCTGAATGTATTCTAGCCTCTGCATCAATGAAGATGACCTCGACTCAAGGGGCTCGAAATAGCTCGCCTTCTTACAACCAACTCGACAACCCAGACGGTGAAATCAAAGTTCAGAAAAAACGGCAGCCCACAGTGAGCTGGGCGCCTGATGAGGTTGACATATGGGAAGCTCCAGGACGCCAAACAAGCCGTTTATTTGCTCTGGAGGAGATGAGAGGAAAGTTGGTTCCGACCGCTGAGGAAGATGGTGGACCAAGTGATCCTCAACCTCCGAGAAGCAGGAATATATCTTTCCGCCTACACTGGAGTAAGGCAATCCGATATTCACAGCCTGGAGGAAACTTTGAAGGCCTCTCAGGCAGCAACACGCACGGATTATCCAGAGAAAGAACGTACAGTGCCCCTTTGCCCCTTCGCCAGTCAAGCGGTACAGCCAGGAAAACCCGGAACAGCAGCCTTAGGAGCCTGTACAACATGGCTGATCTGGTCAATATCAAACGCCAGCGTCAATATTGGAAGCAGCTACTTATTGAGTATGGAACATACACAGCTCTCGCTGCTTTTGTGTACTTTGTTCTTGTGGGTGTGCCCTTGTGGAAAGGGGCTGTGTGCTGGCTCTATTGGGTGATGCAACATAAGCTTGTCTTCTCATGCGGCTGGGCCATTGCTATCGCTCTAATTATATTGTATGTTGCTGCTTATCCGTCTCCTTGCTAAAGGTCAGAAAATGGTATACTCTGGAATTACTTACATATGAAACTTCGACAGCTTTTCCTTCATACCTCTTCTTCACACTTTTGAAAAGAAAGCGCCAGGACCTGAATATTACCAACAGCGTCATATTACCCCAGCCACCACAGATACTGCTCTTTTAATCCCATGCTATAAGTCGGGTCATATCATTGGCCGGACTCTCGAAGCTGCATTGAAGATCTTCCCTGCCTCTCATGTCTATGTGATCGCCAATGGCAACTCCTCAAGCCCTCTGGACAATACCGAAGCAATATGCCGAACCTATGGTGTCAACCATATCTGGTGTCCTGTCGGGTCTAAAATTGTCGCGTTATTCATCGGCTGCTATGCGGTCAAACACTTCCGCTACGTTCTTCTCATTGACGATGACTGCATCCTTCCTCCGAATTTTCCTGTTGTCGTTTCCCGGTTAACCAACCACGTGCGCTGTATTGGATACACAATCAAATCCGTTAGCTCGGATTCTTTGAAAGGGTCTTATTGTCAACAAGCACAGGATTTGGAGTATAAGTTGGCGGGTTTACAGCGCAGCTTCGCAGGAAGACTTGGCAGTGCCACCTTCCCTCACGGGGCTATATCTCTCTGGGAGAGAACATTTTTGAAGGATACCCTTCGACACCACCCTGGTTTCTCTATTAGTGAAGACTGGTTCCTGGGAAATAGCTGCCGAAGGCTCGGAGGAAGAATACAGATGTGCAGTGCTGTGTTCGTGGAAACCACCACGCCGTCTGCTTTCATTTGGACTGACCGCAATCGGAGCAGAGGTGGTTTCGGTGAGACAACAGTCTTGCAGCAGCGCTTTTTGCGGTGGAATTTCTTCGTAGCCAATGCAATCTGTCACAATTTGGTTTACATCTTTGGGTCCTGGAAGTTGGGTTGGTGGGAGATCGGGGCGAAATTATTTGTCATCCAGGAGGTACGTACCTACCTTACCTTAACTTGATGCATTTGCTAATATTAATTCCCTTGCGGGATCGTACAGGTTTATGAGACCATGTTGTACCTACTCACCCCTTTTCTACTACCCATCTCACTTCTAATCCGACCTTTATTCTGTATTTCCCTTTTGCTAACAACATTTGGGTTATATCTGCTGAATGCCATCATCTTCAACGAAATTCATCTGCGGTTGAAGAATGAGCGTGTGCAACTGAAGATTCTGCTCTGGTACTATGTAGGCAATATCTTCCTTGCCACTGAGTTTATATGACCCTTCTAACGCTTTGAACGAGCAGATGCCCTACAAGGTCCTTATCAGTCTAATGAATGTCGCTAGTTGCTATTGGTCCTTGTACAAATATGCCCGCTATTTTGCAAAGCGACACCCTAAGCTTAACGAAGATCACAAGGCTGTCGGGATGGTTCTAAAATTGGAGGAGATGACACAAAAAGACCGAGGACATCGAATGCGATGAAGAACTATGACGGTCAGGACGGTTGGCGTACGTTAGAGAGAAAGCGGCATCGCTAATCTCCAAGAATTCTCTTTTCAAGGAAATTGTTGTTAATCGGAATTTTTGATGCAGACGAAATTAGCATTTGGCGGAACCTACCGCCCGCACCGTAGAAGGCAAAACGGGATGGGCTGTAAACCATTCCTGTGGGTTTTCCCTGATCAATTTACGGATCTTGTTTTATCTCACAAGCAGAAGGAATGCTGTCGAAAGATATCAAGAACTACCTCGTAATCAACATGTATGAAATAGGGATTACGGAAGAAATACTAGAATTTTGTCTATCACCGGGCCAGACTCTTACCCTCAACACACATTTCCCCTCGGGCGATCATTCGCGGCAGCTTGATATCCAAAGCCCCTATGCGGAATTTGTGACACTCCTGAGTTTGAATTTTCTCAAGTTACTTCATATCACCGTGGATCCCCTGAGTCACCAGGACCAATGCGTAGATACCAAGCATGGTGTGATCGTCAGTTCCAAATAACAAAATGGCCGTGGGCTGATTGACAGTACTATCACCCATGACCCTAACCATACACCCCTGTTTAATCCGCGATGACTGACGCGAATGAGCGTCCGTGAGCTGCCGTTCGTAATCGGGATTCGCCTTCCGGAAGCCAGAACTAGCGGCCGTCCCAACCATCAAGGTTAGGCGTTGCGGTGCAGAGGATTGTGGAAAGTTTTCTGATAAGCGTGAGAATCACGATAGGGCGTCAAAGGAACTCATGAGCGAAGTGCGCTAGGTCATGCGACATTCTGCGAACTCCCTGGATTCTCAACAATTGATACAGGTTCCTCGCTCGTGTATTGGGTCTGGGCGTCCCTGGCCTTCTGTTGTTACTCTTCTGCTGACGGCTTCCAGCGGCCTAATAATCGCTGACCTTTGTGGCTGAGGCCCAGATGATGGCCGAACGCGAAGACGCGTGGGCTCGTGGAGCCACCTGGCGTCAAAGCGGCGCCTCTAGATTTGCCGAGTAGATTGTACTTGGATATGGACTCGAATGGCATGCCCATATCCACACGAATAACCCCTGAACGCCACATGTTTGATGGTGGACCTGGCCGGGATCCACGAATAACACCAACCTTGACTCCGTGATGGGTCAATTAGATAGAGTAGTATTCAAGGCGTAAGAATGTCAAATTACCCTGTCTGTCACTGGCCTTTCTAGAGGCATCGAACCAGGTCGGGGAACCCAGGCCAGGGAATGCGGGCGGGAATGCGGGCCGGGAATACGGGCCGGGATATGATCTAAAGGCTTATATTGGAATGTACATTGACTAGGAAAACTCTCCCAGGGCTGGCAATTCGTCCGGAGGCAGAGTGTTACGGACCCCATGTGGCCGAGTGAATATTCATAACCAGTTGCCCAACGCTTTAGAACAATGTAGTCGAAATTGATACACAACATCATCATTTACGTATTACCCATATAGCTTGGTGCCGTCGAGAGTTACGGTTCCAGTACACGAATTGCTTCATCGATGTAATGCCGAGAAAACCACTATTGTAATATTTTATTCGAATGCTTATTTACAGGCTTCTGCTCCACGTACTCTGTGGTTTGGCGTTGGTCAAATCTGTCCCTACATTCCTAGGATACTTTAGATGAAGAATCGGGGCACACTCACCAAGATCTCGCGCTGCTGAAATATAGCATACTGTAGAAGACAACAACTGTATTCAGAAATATTCTCGATCAGCAGAGTCATGGTAAAGATACGCCGGGTGCTTGAAAATAGACTTCTCCGCAGATGGGCCGGCCCACAACGCCGACTCCTGCCATGTCCGGAAGCCAATCGTTTTCTTGGCTCCTAGTGCAAAAACAGGAGATTTTGTTTAGATCTACCATCTGGTCCGCCAGAACAGTAGAGCGATGGCAATCGCCCAGCCACCTGAGAAGACGAAGTTATGCCTCATTACCCAATAGAGCCAGCACACGGGCCCACTTTACGAAGGCACTCCCACAAAAACCAAATACACCAAAGTAGCGAGCGCGGTAAATGCTCCATATTCAATAATGAGTTGGAGCCAATTTTCACGCTGGTGTTGATGTTGGTTAGATTGGCCCTGTTGTATAATCTGTCGAACTGATGGATGGTAATCTACCACTAAGGACAGGGTTATTCATCGAGTACCCATTTTCTCTTTGTTTTTGTATGGTAAACGGGGTATACTCGGAATACCAGCGTCGTAACACGCTAGGAACGGCTCCTGGGATCTGACAACGCTTCAACAGCGAGATCCAGCTAGAACAACATCAATGAATCTCAAGGGGATCCTTCAATACTAGCACATACCAGTATCCTACAATCCGACATAATATCTTGAGGCTGCTGTTCCGGCATTTCCTGGCTTTGTCGCTGGACTGGTGAACGTGCAAAGACCGACAGTAAACCGTTCTCTGAGAATTATGTGCGTATTTCTGTTCGATGGGTATGCTTGAGGGTTTCCAGACGGTGAATACCGTGCTGGCTTACTCCAGTGAAGGCAAACAGAGAAGTTCTTGCCTCTTGGAGATTGAGAGTCGCTTGGACTTCTGTGGTCCTCCGCGGTCAGAAATGATGTTCTCTCTCCTCCTCCAGAGCAGAGGAGTGGCTCGATAGGCGTCCTTTAGGTTCCTGTGTCCCCAATATATCATATACCCACCTCACAGCAGGGTGCCTTTTTACCGAACGTGGATTTGCCCGTCTGAGCTTGCGAGTTGGTGGTTGGCAGACGAGCTCCTTCGGCCACCTTGAAATGAGACTTGCTTTTACGATGATGAGGCTAAAAGACATCCAGGGGTAAAGATTTCTTCGACAATCGTCCCGCCACTGATGGAAGGCATATCGCAAGTTGTATTTGTAATAATTTCTCAACGCCTGTAATGATCAAGGGCATCTGCGGCACCGATGAGGGTCTCAAGGCCTCTTAGACTTTGTTGTGCTGAGCGTGAAGAATCAGAACGTGGTTTGCTTACTACGAGGCATGCATGTGCATTTTTAATTTTGGCGCTGGGTATCAGATATTTCGGCCTCAATGGAATGCGATTAAATTATTATGGTGACGGGTTCCGCTCGGTTAAGGGTCATCATTGGCTGCAAAATTGAGTTGGTCATGTCCTATGCACATTCTTTACCGTTCGACCGCGCCCCTTCCTCACGATAAGGGTATGTGCTTCCTCTGTTCTCGAAGTCGTCTCTGAATTGGGAGCGCTTCCATTCTTGGTCTAAGAACGACCACATCAAAATTTTGAAACCCACTGGTCGCACCTTACCAAACAGAAAAATGGGCCAGTATAGTAGTAGGAGTTATAAGCCACAATTGGGGACAGGATGGGAGGGGTTCATGTTTTATCTATTGTTTATCAGGTTCCGAGATGTCTCTTTACGTTGCAGGTATTACGTTATATTGCACTAATCAGCTGAAGATCTTCGGCATAGGTCCCAGCTGCTTGAGTGGTCAAAATATTAGGGTGGTACAAGGCGACTGCAAAGTTTTCCCCCTTTGGAGCAATACGGGAGTATATATTGGTTCTTTGCCACTTTGATTCCTCGATATCTTTACCCGATGCATTCAACATCAGGACTCTGGTCTTCAGTTTTTCAATCCTCGAACAGTCCCGTCGTTCCAGTATTGAATATCTCTTATCTTTACAGCAAAATATCATTGACATAAAGTATGCAAGATGTCATTTGCTCAACAAATGTAGCTGCCATTCAACATGTAATTACAGCGACGCATTTCAAGCAGGAATGAAGCAGCTCAGCATAAAGACGATACACCTTAGACTCCAGAAAGACAACTAAACCTTAGTACAATGCAGTCATAAATACTGGTACCATGATTTACAGGGTGCCTGGTATCTGTGTTATGGGGTGACAATCCAGAACGAACTGGCTCTGAGCCAAATAGACCCTTTAGAACATGCAGAAAGCACCGAGACATTGATATGGTGGTATCTGCTCATGTAACGCTAGGATATTTGGTTTTATGGTCAAATATGTTCCGACAAGGACTGTCAATAGAAAGGTGGCTTGCTACAGACTCCCTCAGCATCTTCCTACGCAGCGCGTCAAACAACAGGATGTGCAGTTTGTCAAGCTGTTTGTGAGAATAATTTGGGGACGTTGATCATTCTTTGTTTACCAAGCATGATCTAGTACAGTCCGGGAACGCTATCTTTAAGCAACATAATTGACCACGCTGATGTCATAAAAGACAGATATACTAACTATACAAAAAAGAAAAAGAAGAGGAACTAGGCTTCATTTCCTTAATTTACTGTACAGGCCTGTAGTCAGGTTCTCATTGCTGAGAAGTACATATCATCCAACCTGCAGTGCTTGTGCTAGAGTCAAGGCTTGATATAGACTGTCCGGGCCTCCTCAATCCCCTTACATACAGGCTGTGTACCATCCACATAATTTCGGGATATATTATGTAAACATACTACCTTTTGGTCGGAGTGTGATCTTTCATTCCAATGCATCGAATTCATTCCCTGCGAAATGCGACACAACCGAAGCCTTCGAGCTAAGGGGCCATGGGGATGAGAAGGCTTTGGGAGATAAATAGACACCTACATTCACTCCATCACCTTGTGATTGCTTCATCCCTCTGCTACAAAATAACTTCCTACTTTACTTAACTAATCAAACACCGCACCCAATGAAGCTGGCCGTGGCTCTTGTTGTCTACATCTCCTTGATCCCGGGAACCCTGTCTCTGGTGGAACCTTGCAAAGAGAATCTGGTTTACTGCGGCTCAACCCTGGAGCAGTACCATGGTAGGTTCTATTTATCATAAGATTAAAAGACTTTTTTGCGCAGTTCTATTGCTGAAATGAAATGCGGCTTGAAAGGTTACACTCCGGACGAGATCCGCTCTTATATCAGCAGGTCTTCACTTGGCCAATACATCGTGGATGCACTAGATGAGCCGGAAAACGCACTATTTCGATGCACAGATACTGCTGGGGACCTGAATTTGAGAGCATTCTGCTATTCAGGCTGTACTCAGCCTCCAAACGGTGATGCTTGTGCTGCTGAACCTTAGGGTAAGTACACTCTCCTTCCTCTATTCAGCTTCTTATTCTACACCCCATTAAAACTATAACACAGAGACTTTGAGACCGTTGGGCCTTCACGGATGATACCCGGGGGTGAAATTGGAGGGTGTTTGGTTTTCTTGGGGTTTTAAACTAGGTGTTATTTTGGCTCAGTGGGAATTTCCTATATTGTATGCAAATGCGAAGGCCCTTTTCTTTTTGAAACTGTCTATGTTTAGTAGTTCATATCTCGCGATAGATGATCTCCTGCTAGTCTGGCTGAGCGACGGGTGCCACTCTGCTCGACTGATACCCTTGGGATTCCACTGACCGCTGACGCGGTTGGCTATAACAAAGATCGTTTGGTGACAGGTTCTCTGTCGGGCGATGATTCGCTTGCCGTGTAAACATAACATGTCTCGGCATCCGAACGATTAGACTCGGAGAGGGCGAATCAATGCGTCTAGAGTTCCTTCGTTTCGACTGTATATACCAACACTGCAGAATTGAAATCATCTATACTCATCACACACAGTATGACGTGCCGAAATCTTTATGTCGCTTTTCCAAGGATCTGCTTGAACAGTGATATGTCAAATGTCGTCCAGGGCGCTGTGAGTTTGACAAATATATACTTGATGCTCAAGGACAGTCAACGTAGGGGACGTAAAGAGCTCGGCCATTCCCTGGCAAGAGCTTCTTGCGCGCGATATGTTAGAAGACAATTTCAGTGAGAAAATGATACACGCGCTCGGCTTGACTAACCTGCAGCTGCAGTGACATCCAGGGTAAATGCTCTTTGTATATGTTGCTCGGGATTGGATAGAAAGAAGCGTGCTTAGGCATCAAGTCTACCAAAAACTGTCCAAAGACACCACAACATTTATGACAGCGCCCTCGGTGAAGCGTCGTGTATGTCCTGGTGGTCTCTTCACGCTCGCTCGTATACGGCGAACGGCTCGACAATGCGGTGTAGGATCAGGTAGGATAGTATAGGTCGGTGTTTCGTAGCTCGTGGCTCTTTAGTTGGCTCGGCTGTGACTCGGGACCAGATGGTCTTCTGTCTCGGTTCGTAGCTGATATGGCCAATGTTAACCTGTAGGCTCGAAATGACGGGACCTTTGCCTCACCTTCTCTACGCACGCAGACTTGGAGTAATCATCTGGCTGTCCGCGAAGCTATGGCTCACCTGCCATGAAGCAAGACAAAACCACCAGCATTGCTCGGGTCTTTCGGAGTTCCAGGCTTCAAAGACGCGAGATGCCAACCGAGGACAATGAGGATCACCCATTGGACGCCAGGAATTTGATCCACAAGGAGGTTATTCTTTCACGGAGTCTGAATGCCGAAACACACGGTGGTATAAGCCCATTGTGGCTTGGGCTTTATGTCGGGTAGACACATCAGCACATGACCTGATGCACAGAGTCGACTGAGAGAAGGGCCAAGGTAGACGATATGAACCTTTCGGTGACTTATTGTCGATGCCACCAGCAGTCATGTGGAAGTGATAGACAGCAAGCGATCGAATCGGTAGAGGCGAGCTTGAGCAGACAAGACATTTGCTCGCTTCGCATTCTACTCGAGTGACGGGAATATGAGGGACCTCCTGTTCAACCGTTGTACGGTCCGAGTTAGCAAGGCTTGAATCAGTTGGAAGAGTTGTTATAACTTACCTGTTCGTAAAGTTCGCAAAGTGTACACTTGAGACGAGACGGTCAATTAGCTTCGTGATCATATCAAACGCATTAGACGAATGTGACGTGGAGAATGACATACAGCTCTTACTCTTAACGGTCTTGTACCATTCGTCGACTGTGTCTCACTCGTCGTGTCTCTTGAAGTTTATTCTACTGATATCGTGGAAAGCATTCTTGAAAATGCATATTTTGTCGACTACCCAATGACCGTTGCATTTTTTCGTCCATAAAAATCATGCCTTTTTCCAAACAATATTTTGCACCGTATGTTTGCCCGGCCATTATTCCCTGTTCCTTCTACCGCCTGCAATTATCGCCAGCTTTCTAAGGCTTCATCCGTGCCGACAGATGAGGAGTCGGTCAGGTGTGGCTTTTCGCTGGGTTTAGCCTCAATTGTGTTCCCTGCTGTCTTCCTCGCGAGACGGAAACAAAGATCGGATCAAACATTCACTGGAAGGATCACAGGGAAAGTACGAATCGGTCATCTCGACCGAGCCTTGCAGCGAGGACATCAGATTGGGAGTGGAAAAATTGAAGTCAGTCGTCCAGAGATCAGCCTCTGGAACTGGGTGCGAGTCCAACAGGTTCATGTCATCGGGGTGCAAGTTTAAGTGATCGCGAGAGACAGCAGGCGGGGAGTGGAAGAAGGATTGAGAGGCAGAGATATGTGTGTTGCGATCTTGCTGGTATGAATGGGACGGGATGTCGTCGGTGTTGAAGTTCATGCCTCTGGCCAATTTGCGGAAAACGGAGTCGCAGAGCTGCCATGCTCGTCGTGCGCTGTGTTCCGGCATTGCAAAGAACCAGCGGATGCATTTCTTCGCCAGTCGGACGAGCTTCTCTTTTTCTTCTGGCATATGTATGCAGCCGAATGACAGCTCCAGGAGAATGACGATCGCCGCTTGCATCAGTTGCCGTAGGAAGCACCACCATGGACAGATTGCATAAAGCTGAGGGACGTCCGGCTCGTCCGGAATCAAATCGATCATGCCGGACGCAGAATCCAAGGTGATGACTGCCATCATATGGCTGAAGGTCTGGATAGAACTGTTTTTGCGGGCATCCCGCCGGCAGAGACAAGGGCGGCCGAGAGTGATTCGAGCGCTGTAATATTGGAAGCCCAGTGCTAATTTACAGCGAAGTCGATCGGAGCTGTCGCTGTTTATCTTCTGCGTAAAGTCTAGCGTCGTCGGTAGATTTGACCGCCAGAAGTCGAATCGTGATAGCAAATCATCGATTCGATTTTCAATTTCTGACCACGGCAGCACGACGCAGTTGATTGAATAGACTTTATTGAGAACCTCCTGGGTAATCACTGTCAAATCGCAGCAGTAAAGGTAACAGAGTCCAAAATTCGTAGGCAAATTTTTGATCCAAGATTGGTCGTGTGGTTGCAATTCCTTCCTATTGCTGCTCTGAACGTGAATCCATGAGCTTGCCATGACATTGCCGATCCGCTTGTTTCTCAATTGGGGATCGTTGAGCACTTCAATAGCCGATGGATCTTCGTGAAGCTGATCTTCTTCGAAGGGAAGCGGCAAGGGTGTCGCGTAACCTCCATCCAGCGAAGAGAGAGCTCGACCAGTCATGATGCATAGCGTATGTTCGAGAGAGTATATGCACCACCATAGCTTATAGCGAGCTTCTTTAGAGACGTTTGGTGCTGACAGGTTCTCATTCTTCAAGTTGATACCGAGTTCGATGGCGGAACGCACCGCCAAAGCTGAAATTCTCCATGCTCTATACAAGCTGTTAGGGCCATTCCACAGTAAAATAGCGTATTTAGTGCGAACCTGTTGATTTGGTTCGAGGCAAGCAGGTAAAGTGTGATTAGGCCTTCCACTTGGACTTGTTGAAGATCGGGATGACTGAATAAATGCTCACCATTCATGCTGAGAAGCCTAGCTCGGGTCAGGTATATCAAAGGATCGGTTTCATTCCCACGCCACGGCGCGTTCATGAGTTGGCTGTGTTTAGCCGCGATTGCGAAAATGGCATTCAAAATTGCGAGCCATTTGTCACCGGTTCGGACGCTGTTAAGTGGTGTGGAAGTAGCGAAGAATGTCTTGTATTGTGCGCAGAAGAGTGATTTGCTGATTATGGGGAAAAATGGATGAATCGTTGTCAAGTAGTCGTCAAGAAGTCGGTCCGCTAGCTGCCGCGAAGGCATGCTGTATTTTTGCACCGGTTCCGGTATAGAGATGCCTATGCCGTCAAGATGATAGTCTAGGGTATGCAGAGAAAAGCTATTCTTCGTTTCTTCGTTCTCGTCGGGGTCTGGCTCCAAGGTCCCGCACTTGCCACGGGCTCGCTGCTCAGCTTCTCTCTGGAGCCGCTGCATCCAAGTAATCTCTGAGCTTTTGCCCATGTAACCTGTTGCCCGAGTGTGTTCTGTTCGATTGTGATCTTCTTCCATTTGGTCCATTGTGTCTAGGGATCCAATTGATGAGAGTGGGGATGGCGCCAGTAGGCTCCACCAAGTGTGCCTATTGATAGTGATGGAAAAGTGATTTCTGGATTTTTTTGAAGCGCCAGTGGTGTAAGTGTCGAAGATACGACAGTAGATTGAGCTCTTCGTCTGTCCAAGAGTGTACGTTGTGTGGTTTAGCTTTTCTTCTCATGAGTCGAAGTAGCCGCTCGTCTTTGAGGTAAAGGTGGTGATTGTGAGAAAGTAATTTTTAAACTTGCTACAGAGAGCAGCGTCATTGCATCTGTTCGTGTGGTATAAAATGGCTTTAAGTCAACGAATTACAGGTAAGGACGATGTGATATCTTGCGACCGTATCTGTGGCGGTGTGATATTGTGATATCTGTGACACTACGTGAAGGCAAATCCACCCGCTCCATTCCTCCTGAAGAGTTGGAACTCTTGATCTCTGCATTTTCACAGAATTATCGAGTCAAAATGGTCAGCCCAATGAATTAATGTAGCTATCACATGATGGCGAAACTTAGGAGTAGCAGTGCTCTCAAAGGTTGGCGTGAGTAGTCCCGGGCTCATAACCTGTGGAGAAGTGATGCTTCGGTGTTGATGTTGCAGGTACAGGTGGGCTGACAGCCTCATATATACACATGCTTCCAGTCGTGTCAGGTGATTTCAGCTACCGAGATATTGAACAGTTCCCCTTCTGTCAGGGGGCAATTTCTGTGCGTTCGCACCTGTCCCAACTATCGCAACCATCTCACCTATGAAATAGGTATCAGATGGGAGCGCTCGAAATTACGATTACGATGAACCAGTTTACGAGGCCATAAGACCTTCTGAATGGCAATATATTCCAAGAAAACGGGTTTGCCAAGGAGTTCCCACACCTTGTGAACAGAGTACATTAGTCCGTCACTGTTTGACTCTGCTGGCCCGAAATTCGCGGGCTGTCAACTGGCGATCTCAATGGCTTTTCAATCCGACAGGCCAGGGCCCCGGCGTTCACGATTTCAAGATAGTTACAATCAGTTTGAGTTGGGAAGATTAGAGGATATATATTGAGCCGTACTACAAAGCCGCAAAAGGCTAGCTTGTTACATTCCCGGAAAAGCCTCCATTCTCCCGAGTAGATGAGCCCACTGTACTAAAAGATGTACACCAGATCCTCATGCAGAGCAATGAGTGTACAGTCCCTCGATAACTCCCGCGCAACCTGATTGATGGATATAAAATGTCCGTTGAGCTCGTAGGTGGGTTAGCCGTTTGGCACAGCATTAGCCTCCTTGCATCGCCGACACTTCGTCTGGAATGACTAATGGGATTATCTGTGTCTGCGATGCTTTGAGGATTCGAGGAAGGTAAATTGTGACTTCTGCAGAAACTTGACAAGTGCTAAGTTTGAGCAGCCTTGACATTGAAGGAAGAGGTGGAATAGAAGGGATTGCATCTCGTTTTGCATTACTCGGGATTGTAGGGAAGTTACTGCACGGTAAGTGGGTGAATATATATTGCTAGAGGTAATAGAAAAGAGTTGGAAATTGGGGCTCTAACAGGGTGCCCGATAATAGCAAAATATTGCTGAACAATGAACCTAGCCCTCTTGCTGGAGGTGCAACATACCCAGCAGTCACGTTCCGTCAAGGGATGATTTCTATTTTGGCCAGGAGACCTGAACCCGGAGGACTTTCTATCCCTTTGTGGCTGATAAGTACCAATTCAATGCCACTGGAAAATTCCCAGCTGTGCCAAATATCTTGAGCGTAAATGAAAATAAAAAAAATATGCGTCATTCGGATTCTTCATTCATGAAGTATGATGCCCTTGCCTTTGGATAAAGATGCTAGTTTGCCAGCCTTCTTCCCGGTACAGTATTCCCAGGAATGCATCGGATGTTTCACTAAGTCTCCCTTACTTCTGTTGATCAAATAGTAGATAGTTACATAATCCAAGTATTTAGCTAAGTTAGTGGTTTGTTTGTTTTATCTTGTTTGGGCGCGGTCAGAAATACATATCCAAGCGTGTATAGTTCATTTAAGTCCACTTCTTCCTCAAAGCCATTCTTGAAAGCAAGACTCAACACCGCTTTTGTGTTGCACAATTATCATAAACATACTGGCGGCATCTTCAAAAGCCTCTTACCTACTGCCTTCCTTTTCACCACAGTCTGCCTGACAATGGAGTGTTGGCATATTATGTGCCAAAACCTCGCTGGCTTAGTTCATCCAAAAAAAAGGCCCTCTCTGCGAATTGTTAGTGTTGTTTGACATGAGACCAAAGCTAAGATAACGATTCATGTATTGATGAATATAGGGTCACCTGTCTGACGTACGAAAAGAAAAGGGGTTCAATTCAACCCCTACTGCGAAGTAAGTTTTGTGCATCCTGAATTTCGATGATTCTAGATAAAAATCTCTACTAACTTTTTTTTTCAAAGTTGTCTAAGTCTTTATAGGGCTTTGCCAATCGAGAAAGAGGCCATGGAAATCAGCACTACAGAGGAGCTTCCGCCGACAACCTCTGAAATAGACCTATTGGCAGGGTCTATCGAAATGGACTGCCATAGACCGACCGAGTCTACGTTGACTAGCCAGAGACCCCCTCTCTCGGGGCAAACAAAACAAGACTTGAGGAAGTACGAAAGTCTTTTCGGCCAAGCCCGCCGCAAAAACAAGAAACGAGCTTGCTCATTTTCTGGATGCACTCTTCAAATGTGACGGCAGGCACAACTGTGTTTTTAGGTTCCGGAACAACGGATTCAAGTGCACGATACTATAGGCAATTTTAATATCCCTGAGCATATGCTTCGTCCCAATATCACGGTGTTTTGGGAGTCGTGGCTGTTACTCCCAGGGACAAGCACAATCGTGCCTGAGAGCTCTACCCTAAAACCTGAGGTCTAGCCCAGCCAGCTCATGCCACATCCAAGCCAATAGGTTGCTAAATATGTAAGGGGCCAAGTAAAGGAGAAGTCAGGATTATAGCTTCACTGGGGAGGACGTTTATAGATTGGGGCACACTCACCAAGATCCCGCGCTGTTAAAAATATAGGAATACTGTAGACAACAACTGTATTCGGAAATATTCTCGATCGCCAGAGTCATGGCAACGATACGCCGGTGCTTGAAATAAACTTTGTGGACCGCAGATGGGCCGGTCCACAACGCCGACTCCTGCCATGTCCGGGACCCAATCGGTTTCTCGACTTTTAGCGCAAAAACCGGAAACTTTATTTAGATCCACCATCTGGTCCGTCCAGAATTGGAATCAATTTTTATAAGCTGTCTGCTTGAGTTATTAGAATGGCGGTAGAACTGGGGAAAATGGAGAGAGGAATTGTCGGTTTCGAAGAGAGTATGCCGATTAGGGCGAAGGTCAGTGGAGTGTAAAAATAGCTTCTAGAACATTCTATAGACCAGATAGACGAAGCTGCAGCTTGCCACTCGACAGGGTCCAAGTAATTTTCATGTGAGAGCATCTAGGAGAACACGACCACGGATCGTTTTGAGCCTACCATTCTATTGCCGAAAGTCTGCGTGATAATCCAAATATCTCACCTGCCCAACCATGCCTCCTAAGCAAAATAGACCCGTTCCATTCGCAGGCTGACGGCCCGTCAATTCTGGGCTTGTGGCTCGTGTCTGGGCCTTAACAAAACCTTGAAGTTTCTTCTCCGGGCCACAAATAGAACCTCCTTGATCTACTGTCCCGTGGGTCATCGCTGGTAATTTCATCGCAGAACCGCACCAGCGTCGGTCCACATTCACGCGCGTTATTTGGTTGGTCCGACTAGTGCTTCTTGTGTCCAGGGTCTCATCAGAGTGTGATAGTAGCATTGCAATCTCGCGAGATGGGTGGCGATCGACGAGGAAACAGATCATGGGCCTTGGTAGCTGAAAAGGTTCACTTGGTTATCCTGGAAACTAGGCTCAGATTCCTATTGTTTGTTTTTCCAGGTCTAGACTTCTTTCCTATTCAACGCCAAAGATAGGCAATCATCAATCATCCTGGATTTGGGAGTATGTTCATAGTGTCTGTGCAGCCAGGTAGCAGAAATTTAGTCAAGGAAACATTAGTTGGCTGCGAGCAAACACACGAAAGAAGTATAATTCGAGCAGCGGGGCTAGGGAAAGGACATGATTGATTCTAGTGAACCCAAGGAGTGGTACGTAGCAAAACAGGCCAACCACGGGTACAATCGAATGTGACTGTCGGCCACAAAGTCTCCAAAACACTATTTCAACGTCTGTTGAAGCACCTTCAACCCTCATCAACGAGACGGTGACCGTGGCTAAAATGGGCTGATGCAGAGTGCAAGCGCGTTGAGCGATTTAATTGCAAATTCGATGGTATGTAGGAATCATATCTTTGTGGTATTACACTCTTCTCAACAATTGATGAAAGTGTTTCACCACACTCAACGCAGCAGTTCGACAGGAATGATTCCGCGAGTACACTCGAGGCTTGGATCTGTTTTGACCATCTCATCTCGGAGCGACCCAACGTTGAATCACCAAAGAGCATTTACACTTTCATCACTAAGAATCATGGAATTTATTTTCCTAGCCTCGCTTTAGTGTTGGTTGTCTGAGCTGTGGGCCTGTCCGTCTAGACTGCGGAAAGCGTCAGGTCACGGTCGCGTGGTACTCAACCCGTCAACCCGTTGAAGCTTGGCCATACCTTGACTCAATTTTTGAACCCTTGACCACCGTTAAAATACCCTTTTATAGGTTTGCAGACAAGGTCCCAAGCGCATGGCGCAAAACCAATAAACCAAGTGATACGACGCAGTGAAGCGAGAGAGCGAGTCGAGATCGCGAGTTGTCAACAGGGAGCACAAGGTGCCAATTGCTTCCACTATGACCGACGCCAGGTCAACAGCAATTGGTGACCGGCCCTTCAAGTCCTGACAACTCATACCAATATATTTTGCAACTCGGTCAGCCTTCAACTATAGTGATTATCCCATACAAGACTGCAAGCGAGAAGGCACTATCATCGCGCGATGAAATATCGTCTTGTGCTTACTGGGTCCATCAAGACGGATGTCATTGAAGGATGCACTTTCTTCGGCTAATAGTCTGCCTAGTGGTATTGCGATGTCTCAATTTGTAGATAGGGCTAAGAAGTATTTGTCCGTTGTTATCCCGGCAGTATACAGTGACCAGTGACTTGGCCAGTAGCAAGTTTACCACAGAAAGGTGATTATATTGCACAGCTATGTGGAGCGCAGATCTTCCAGCCTGGTCTCTTTATTGCAGAGGAATATTTACCTGATCCACAAGCAGCTGCATAACAGCTGCATAGCAGTCCGTTTCCCAAATTCTATCACTGATACTCTCTACTTCGCAAAAGGGAGCAATGGCTGCTTTCCCAGGTCGGGAATGTCTGACGCAAGGGGCGGCTACGGGCACCACCCATTGGAGGTGGTCCATTCAGGCATTACATCCCTTGACGCGGGGGCAGGATGATCTCAGGATCCTGCGGCTTCTGCTGCTGATGGGCCAGTGGTTGTCTATGAGGACCGCAGGGGACTGGTGGCCCACGGTAGCCTTCCGGCCCTTCTGGGCCAGGTGCAGCGTATCCATTCAGACCAGTTCGAAGGTGGGGATATGCAGCGTGCGCAGGCACGTAGGCTTGAGTTGGCGACGTGACTGGAATGAAAAGGCAATCTTGGTCGGATTTTAGACAGTTGCTGCACCGTCCATCCGCCGAAGTTTCAGATCCCGAACAACGGATCTAAGCAGGGTAATCAGTGCGCCATCATGTCCGGGTGGTTTAGAGGTATCTCACGTACCTTACGGCATCGACAGTACCGACAAGCGACGGCCGCTCGCCGTCGCGGATCTGCTCCTTGGTAGGTTCCTTCCGGTGCTTGAGCTTGGGTAAATGGGTCAGGGCAGTACGACCCCGGCAGTGGATGCAGCCGATAGGGAACATGTCCTTGAGGCGTGTGAATCGCAGCCATGTTCGATGGGGGCGTGTACCCTGAATTTGCGTACTGCGAAGGAGAATATTGCGGAGGTGGTGCTTGTTGCCGACCAAAGTTCGGCGGCGGATACTGTGAAGTAGGGGAATATTGGTAATAGCCGAGTTCGAACCTCGGTGGCGGAGAGTAGAAAGAGGGAAGACACTACGAAGCTACAATCAGCGACCCAGAGTCCCGGCGAAGTGTTAACAACTGCTAGAATGTTATCACATACAGGAAGGGGAGTCTGCGCAGGTAGCTGATTCAACTGGGCGTGGCCTTGTCTCTGTCGACTTGGGTCGCCTCGATTTGGGTCACCCTGAGGATTAGGGTCATGGTCATTGGGATTGTCCATTTGTTGTTCAAGGAGGACACGACAAGATGAGTCCAGAATACTGTACAAGGATGTGCCGTCGAGTGTTTGGGGGGATCGAATCACACGAACAAAGCAGCATAGAGCGGTCGCGCAGGAAAAGAAAATTTAGAGAGAGCAGATGCACAATAAATGTGGCAGGTGATTTCAATGCCCAAGGTTTGCATAGAGCACATGGATCGACATTAAGTTTTCCCTTGTTCGCGGTAACCGTCCATGGCCCTGCCCATGGTCGGCACCAATGGGCCCAGGACAGCCCAATAGTTAATTAATATGCTTACACAACCGGGTGGGCTTTAACGTGATTCCCGGGCACCCCAAGCGAGCGGGCACCCCACTTCAAATTTCAATCACCCTAGCAACCTCATGTTTTCAATCACGCATCATGCCCCCCAAACGATCCCAAAAAGCTCAAAGATTGCTTGAGTAAGAGGGTAAGATTCTATTAGCTATTAAAGCTATTCAAAATGGCAAACTACCACGATCGCTGCTGCTGCACGCTCTTTTGAGGTGCCCCGCTCTACTCTCCAAGCCCGGTTCAATGGAAGAACCAATCGGTCTGACACACGGGCTAATAGCCATAAACTCACTACAATTGAGGAGGAATCAACTAAGAGTTGGCTAATAAGTATGGATCAGCGAGATGCTGCTCTTACGATCAGTATGCTAGCAGATATGGCCAATTTACTGCTAAAAGAGCGCGGAGAGACCCCGGTTCAGAGAGTGGGCAAAAACTGGCCAACAAACTATCTAAATCGGCACTCCGAGCTTACTAGTCGATTCTCTCGCAAATATGACTATAAACGTGCTCTGGTGGAAGACCCAAAGGTCATTACGGAGCGGTTCAACCTCTTTCAAAACACTATTATCAAGTATGGAATATTATCAGATGATATCTATAACTTTGATGAGTCAGGGTTTGCGATGGGAATCAGTGCGACGACTAAGATCATTACTCAGTCAGTTTATTAAATTGGAAGTAGAGTTTGCTCGTGCATATGCAGAGCATACTGCCATATCTGCCGCACCTTGTCTGCCACCTCACATTTGGCGATCAGTCCTTGACGATCACGGCTGAACTTGCCCAGAGCAAAGTTGTAACCAAACTTGAAGTGCTTGACCCCTGAAGTAGACATTGGTAGCAGGATCCCATGCAGGAAGAGCTTTCCGTGAAACTGCGAATCGAGAAGCAAGTCTCCTTGATGTGTCTCTACAATCGACGAGGGATAGGAGAGCCCGAGGATATCGAGAGTAATATGCAGCCACTCGAAGAACGTTTCAGATGATACCGGTCGACTTTGACTGGCACGTCCAGCCCCAATCACCACCGTGATGTCTCTTTCAACGTGGAAGCGCAGTTTTGCCATATCATCAGCTGGCTCTCGTTGAATGGCGGGACTCATCTTTCGGGAAGGAGTGATGACACAACGGAGAGACTGATACTTCCCATGCAGACCAAAACTCCACTTACGGTGGCTTGCAGCCAAGCTCACTTTGTATCCGTCTCGACTCATTATTAACGCAGCCAGCTTGAGCCCCTCGCCATGGGAGCCTGCCAGCTGCTCGTCGTCGTCCTTGGATGTGAACCCCATCACGAGAGACTCGAGGGGAAGTTGCATGCAGGAGTTGGTCAAGATGACTCGGCCGGTCTTTTTCTCATATTTGATGAACCCCAGAGCTCGCTGATTGCCATTGTCGTTCGAGGTAGCTGGGACTATGATGCAGAAATGATCTTTCTTGTCTGCAAAGAATGGCTTGAAATCCAATCGATTTAACTGAAGTCTTTCCAGAATAGCATCTTTCCTATTCTGTCTCAGCGTTTATTCAATAAAAATAAATGTCACATACCAATTTTGATACAGCTCGCGAAATGCATCTGTAGTGTCCCAACCTTTCACATAGGCAGGTGAAATCCCAACTGGGGTAATTTGCTGTGAAGGCTCAGTTGTTGTGCGAGTAACTTCTCCGCTCTGTCGTAGATCACGATCCAACTGCAGATTCGCTTCGTCGCTCGTGCTCGTGCAACTATCTTGCAGTATGATTACTCATTGTTGGGTACGCTTTTGGAGCACTGCAGCAGAATGAGATATTGGCTTTTTGTCTCTGGGTCGTGCGCCTGCTATTTATACGGCGCCCTTGAATTTCCTCTGAGACATTCTCCTTGGAATCGTTGACCGTAGTGAACAAGGATAGTGACATCCTCATTGATGATTTCATGAGGGAAAGATTAATCTTGATGTATCGGAAATATGACAAAAATCTGGTTTGCATCCACGACTCACCAGTCCTTGACGAATGACCATGTGGTGTTGTTGAAGATCTTTATGGTTGACTAACTGGGTCATATCCGGTAACTCAACATTCAATGTTGAATAGCTCATATGAGCCATGAAGGGCCTCCGTGGCTCCGCATTTATATTAGCCTGCCAACTGTTGATTGAGGTCAGGCAGAATGTTGAGGTCGGCATGTCCAAAGATGAGATATGCGATCCGTTAAACCTTAAAAACCTGCCTATGGTTTAAGCAAGCATTCGTGAATGATAGTCAACGGTGGATTGAGATCATCAGTCCATTGGAAAAATCTTGAGGCATATGATGAGAAGCTTGTCAGCGCGATTTTTTTAGGTTGACGGATCCTGAGAAAGCTGAAGAGATGGGCTTTTCTTCTAGAAAAGACATACAGTACAGTTATGGTCTTTAGCAATATCCTACTTATATTTCCACAAGCCCCCTACAATGTTTATATGAGTAGTATTTAGGAACTATATCAAAGATGACTGAGCATGATGACACCAGTCACGGCATGTAAAAACGGATCAAGGAACGTTTCGTTTCCATGCATCTCTGCCATCAGGGCGTAGAGCGAACAGAGACGTGAGTGTTTTGGTGCGTCGCGGATGTGTTGATGAGCGTTGATGGTTGTTGACGAGGGTATTGATGAGCGTTGATGGTCGTTGATGAACATTGATGAGCCTTGATGAGGCTTGATGAGCGTTGGTGAGCGTTGGTGAGCGTTGGTGAGCGTTGATGAGCGTTGATGAGCGTTGATGAGCGTTGGTGAGCCTTGATGAGTGTTGATGAGCGTTGATGTGAGTGTTGTCGTGAGATGTGACTGAAATAACCGGGCGGTGGAGGTGAGTGGTGATCAACGTCTAACGGACGTAGCGCGAGCCTTTTCTTGCCATCTCACGATTCTCACCCACATGACAGATGTATCAATTTCGTTATTTCAATTCTGCGTCATTTCTTGTCCCCTGGTGGTCACTCAGTAAAGTTCGCATACAGCCTCCATTTCGATTGAGCTGGTCGAACACAAACACCGAATTTCCCTCCATTGGTTCAGCTATAATCAGGCAATACGCTCAAGATCAGACCTACCAGGTGTAGAAGCATTTGATGAGGAGCCGCTCGAAACCCATTTGTTGGCTCAACTAAACATCGTGATGCAATAGACTGTTACTTGCGTAGTCAGATTTATCGCTTCAGGCGGCTTGCAAGTCACTCAATTCTACTCTACTGTAGAATGCCTACATCCAGAACGGTCGCGATAGTCAACGTGGATTCGCAACAAAGACAACCAATTTAGGCTTCTTTGGCTTAAGACCTACATCCTAGAACGGACGCGAGAGTCAAAGTGGATTCGCAACAAAGACAACCAAGTAATTGAGGGCTTTGGCTCAAGAATATCCGATCGGCTCCTACATACGGGAGCCACCGCAACCTTGTGAGTAATCCCTGCCAGCAACTACGATTTATATTGCGACCCCATCTCCCATGTAGTAACCACACTGCATTCAAATTGGCGATCACTGCCTTTTGGGCGGAGTACCCGAGTCCATGCGATCAAGCATGCTCTACTGCCGAGGGAACACGGTTGCAGCCGGATCGGGTCTAGCAAGCGCCATCTTGACCAGATCTGGTAAAGACGACTCCGCCAACATTTACGACGAACTTTCGTGAGGAGAGATCATCGCAATTCGTACTTTACTTGACTTGTAATCGCAGCAGAAATGCGTTTAAACAATTTTCTCCAAAGGCAAACATGGCATGAGCGCCGATTAGGGGTAGGAAATTTCAGTATAGGTTGTCGTAGATAGTCAAAGAGGTCGCACAGCAGGATGGCTCTGGGTGGTTTTGTTAGGGACATCAATGCCACCTTCAGTGAATCTGTCCGAACAGTGATGTGCCACATGTCGTCCAAAGCGCGGTGTGTCTAACAAATAGTTGATGACCCAGGACATTCGACGTAGGGGACGTAGAGAATCCGGCCATTCCTAGCAAGAGCTGCTTGCGCGCGATACGTTAGAAAACGACGTCAATGGACAAAGAACACAAGTAGTCAGCTTGACTAACCTGCAGCTGCAGTGACTTCCAGGGTGAATGGTCTTTGCACGTGTTGCTCCGGCTTGGATAGAAAAGCGTGCCTAGGCATCAAGTATACCGAAATCTGTCCAAAGACACCACGACTTTTGTGACAGCGCTCTTGATGCAGCGTCATGTATGTCCGATTGGTTCGTTCCCGCTCGTTCATCTCCACCCGCTCGAATAGGTCGAGCAGCTGAGAAACGCGGAGTAGGATCAGGTGAGGCGGTATCGGACGGTGATTCGTAGCTCGTGGGTTTTTGGTTGCTCGGCTGTGACTCTGGACCAAACCGTCTCATTTCCCAGTTCGTAGCTAATATGGCAATGTTAATCTGTGGGCTCGATATGACGGGGCCTTTGCCTCACCTTCTCCTTGCACACAGACTTGGACTAACAATCTGGCCGTCTGCGAAGGCATGGCCCACCTGCCATGAAGCAAGACAAAACCACCAGCATTCCTCGGGTCTTTTGAAGTTCCAGGACTGAAAAGACGCGAGATGCCAACCGAGAACAATGAGGATCACCCATTGGACGCCAGTAATTCGATCCACGAGGCTATTTTTTCGAATGCCGAGACACACGGTGGTTTAGCCCATTGTGGCTTGAGCTTTGTATCGGGTAGACACATCAGCACATGACTGATGCACAGAGTCGACTGAGAGAAGGGCCGAGACGATCTGAACCTTACATTGGCTCATCATCGATGCCACCAGTAGTTATGTGGAAATGATAGACAGCATGCGATCGCATCAGTATAGGGGAGCTCGAGCAGAGAAAATGAGGGCGTCCTGTTGTACGATACGAGTCAGCAAGGCTTACCACTTGGACGAGTTGTTATGACTTACCTGTTCATAGGGTTTGCAGAGGGCACGCTGTGTACGCTTGAGACGAGATGATCAGTGAGCTTCGTGGTCATATGAACTTGCCAAACAGATCACTTACAATCCTCTTCGGCAAAACAACGCACACGATTCATGCCATGTTGTATTCTGGTCCGTCGCACTCTCCGGCCGTTGCTCCAAAAAAGCCGGGCTGTGGCGCAACGCGCATTCTCTCGGGCAGCATAGGGCGTGACAACCTCACCAGGCACAAGCAATCATATAGTCGTGATGGATGAATGTTTCGCGATGCGGACGGCCAGACACTCCGCCATTCATGGAGTGAAGGCGGTGAGGGCGAAGACGCGATGGAGCACGCGTCGTAGTGCCACCTAGTCTTATCTCCGATCCGGCGATAGGACTTCCAACAGGGATGTTTCACGGGTGGCGATGGGCTGCCCTCATGTACAACGGCACGAAAATCAGCAATTGTGTTGATGTTCTGGAGCACAAGAAATTGCACAAATAACTGATGTAGCGCAGCGGAGGACGCGGTAAGTCACTCACATTATAAGGAAGAATGGACGTCTCAAGCTTCCATGCAGCGAAGCTCGCACTCGGATGTTCGCACCCGCTATTGGCCCGCTCCTCTGGTTTATATTCTTCATCTAGGGTATGTTGCGTGGTTTGAAGCGTCGGGGCTAAGAATAGTGTGTAGGCCATGGCTTTGTATTTGGCACTAACGGGGTGCTGTATCCTCGGGCCCTCTGGTGCGATGTCAATGGTTCACTGTCAATCATTAGCTTGCAGATCGGGGAGACAATCCATGACTCACATTTTCTGGTAGCCAAGTCTTGGGACAAAGAGACGACAAAGAGCTGTTGTCCTTGCGCTCGTGCATTGTGGTCGAATGTCCTCGGTTCTATTGGAATCGTATCGTCTTCAGGATCAGTAGAATTCAGACAAGGCAGGCTAAGGTTCACATACCTGCGACGCGGATATTCGCGCTTTCTCTTGGGAATACACATAGAGGCTGCACAGTAGATCAGCTCAGTCGGCTGCTGTGGCGGAGGCGTCTTCGCATAGACACCTTGACCGGCTAATCCAAAACTCGTATCTTTAATCGGCTGGTGTGAATGGCAGTGCATTTGGTGGGAATCATACCTGTATCTCTCACAGGCACTGTCTGACTTGCTGGTCCACGGTGTATCCTATAAATGTCAGTACAGTAGAAATTCCAATATTCGATCGAAGGGGAGAACTTACCAGGTCCTCAGACACAAGCCTGCTCGATTTTGCAGAGTCAAGTGAATAAATCGTAGAGCAAATTGCTGGAGGTAGAGGACGTATTTATAGGTTTCTCGGCTTCTGTCACTTTCCAACTTGGTAGGAAGCGTTGAAGGACAGGCAGCCCTCTTAATTGAGGCCTGTTGAATCCCATGTCTTCTTTGTACCGCATCTATTCGCACCGATATCTTTGATACCTTTAGATGCTCAGTGAGAGAGACGAGTAAGAGTGGTTTGAGAAAAAGGATGCTGAGTCGGTCAAGAAACCTTGGCTGACTGTTGAACCCTTCACGGCACTCTAAAATTGAGGCACCGGGTGCTATTCAATCCGCAATGACAGACTCGTATTTGTGTTGTGATCATCTCATCTGTGAGCGACTCAACGTTGATTCACTGAAAAGCGCCTTCA